AAGCAGCAATGAACTTGATTTCAATATAAATAAACTATAATGAACTTAAATTTGAAATGAACACAATAAATTTGAACTAAAGCAAAGACTTGAGTTGGACCACAAATGACTTAAATCAAACTTGTGGGCATTAAACTTGAATTGTACAACATCAAGTGGAACTTGAACAGCAGGGGACTTGGACTTGAAATTGAACTTGAACTTGCACATCAAGCTAAACTTGAACCTAATTGAACCACAAGGAGTATTGACATTTAACAAGTGATGATGAACCGGATAAATAACATTGAACTTAAAAAAAAAATGGGACAATCAAATGATTTGGAACACAATTTAAAATAAACTTATGATCTGGCAAGTTAACTACTTCAATTAGAGTGCAAATGAATAGTTATGTTGAGTGTATCATACACAATGAACTATCTTTAAAGATGAAGGACTTGCACGTGTGATGTACTTACAAATAATAAGAAGATATTGAAAGATAAGTTGAGGTTACAAAGCAATAGCCTAAAAGACTTTGGAGGGTGATAATTGATTTGCAATGCTAAACATGGCTCATCCCCAAGCAACAATCAATATGAATCATCACTTCAATTGAATAGTTATTGTATAAGAGCTCCAATGGATGTTGTAATTGATCCATGAAAGCTACTCCAATAAAAGCGCAAATCTCCGTTCGACCATAATACTAATGAGTGTCACTCGTATCATAGACCAACTGGCTATGTGATAAGAGATCTATATCATGCATCAAGAGCTGTTGGTAGTTGACGACAAGGGACACACAAACAACATATGCATGAAGAAATTTATAGCGAAATACAGCTCGATCAGAGGCCAATGACAAGTCATAGATGGGCATATTGATGACGAAAGAAGATATGTTGCAAACACCACAGATCTCTAATGCATATAGATATTTGCTAGCAATGATGGATGATCATCCATATGAAGGACACTATATCTATAAATAGCAATCAACAATGATTAAGGAATATGTGTTATCTAATTGGAAATAGATGCCCAAGAATGGCATGATGAGTATTATGAGTCGTATATGAACGATGATGGTGCTCATATGAGTCTCGTATCCAAACATAACAAGTAGTAAAGGAGCTTTAACATGCATGCTAACCTATTCATGAATGGTAATGAGGTATGTGATGAGTGTTACAGCATTCTCACAATCATGTATGGTTCACTGGCACACAAATACAGAAAATCTACGTTCAACAAAATTTATTCGCAGAAGATTGAAAATGCATACAGTGGCTCTATCTACTAGCAACAATGGGAAAGTCGAACTAGACATAATGCAACAACTATTAGCTTTTAGATATACGGCATTGAAAGACACACAAGTAAATGCGATAGTTCACCAATCAAGCATATCAATTTCCTGTAAGCAGAAGGGTTCAATGACACTGTGGGAGACCCATACCACCGTTAACATAACAGTTGCAACCATAAAGATTTGATATGCAGTGAAAACAACGATGTGGCACACCGGAATGCATTCAAGCGAGCGTCAATACACCATCTTGTGTCTACCGAAGTTAATGACCAATATTTGACAAATGTGTTGTTAAAGATTAATGCAAAATTTGATGACCCAAACTCACAATTACAAGCAGAAAGTACACCCGCTACTCCAACTACACAAAGGCTGCAACAACCTTTTGAGGAATAAATATCTCGACATCAACAAAGGAGTTGCCTACCGATCTTAATGCAAGTTTTAAGAAGAGAAAGCCAGATCAAATCATTATAGAGTGAGTCTCAGTTCAACCAGGTTCTGAGCACTGGGTTGGATAAGATTATTGAGGTTTGCAAGTTTCTTGATGAACAGTGATCGTGCGTCTAACATACTTCCCACAAGCGAATATCGAAACACTATGACAAATGCAAACTTCTGCAAACTGTCATAGAAGACCCTTCAAATATCCCAAAATACTCATGCACATGCACTGTAATTTGTATACACATAGGTACACAAAAGGAGTAGTTGTAATCACAAAACCCGTATGGACCCCGGCGAGCATGTTGTAGGAATACACGTGACGTCTGGGGATGTTGTGCTAGTCATTAAATTTAAACCTGGTCCTCCTAAGCAGGTAAATAGAAGTTAACAAAGTCCGATAAATAATTATGAAATACCCTAAACACTGGTATGGGCCCCAGCGAGCGTGTTGTGGAAACACACATGACGTCTAGGGATGTTGTGCGGGTCAGTAAATAAACCCAAGTTTGAGCCCGATCATTCTATATAGATAGATAGGAGTCGACACGGCTCAAACCATTAAATAAATATACGGTCGCGAGGTTGATTGTGATCTTTATTTTATACATTCATATTAGGTCTTCAATAAAAAAATTCACAAACAAACGCATAAAGCCTACGAAACTCGATCCTCTGTCGACAGCTCGATAGAGTTGACAGGGTTCAATCCACAAATGAAAATGACCCCAAACACCCTAATGATGACCGTGTTGAATGTAGAGCTTAACCAAAGTGGTTAATTTCAAATATTCAGAATGCCCATCAAAATTTAAATACCCATAGAATCCAAAAGTCATTCCAAAATCTTAAATATTTAAAACTGCAATCCATCCATCAAATAACTTAAAGCAAAATCCATCTACCTTCCGTAATAGTTTGTCAGGGTGGACAAATCTGAAAATCACTTCAACTCACATAAAGTTAATGTCTAGTCAAAAATATCACTAGGATCCATTCTCAAGCAGTCTCTTACCAATAAGGACGTGATATGTGTCCTCTAACCGGTAGTTTCATCATCAAATGGCACTGTAGGATAAACGTTTATGACTCGGGACCCTCTAAACTGAGTGGTTTTGCCGCCAAATGGTACCACGAGATAGCGGTTATGGCTAGAGCCAATACATTTCTTAGTGGAATCAAATCCTTGATATATGAATCAATAGGATATGATCGATAGAGCACAGAGCCCTCTATTAACTAAGGTGGATTTAAATTTGTCCATTTAAACAAACACTCACCCCAGGTCAACAAGGAAACCTTAGACGAAGCAACTCATGGCTGCCGACAAGGATCCTTTTTTCAGGTTGGGTCGACTACCTCCTCTAACTAAGTAGACCAGGGACCACAATAGCCCAGGATGACGGAACTATGGGATCTTGATCGGTTCTATCATCCATTCCCCCACCATCCGCTTTTAAGTGCAAGATGGTGGAAATTTCTAATTTTAAATATCAAAACTCCAAACTTCTCAATCAACTTCAATCCAAGCTGCTACTATAAACATGTTACTACGTATCAATAAATACAACGTATATGATTGATGACTAACCTTAATCGAAAGTTCTCTCTCGTGATCGGAAGGGGTAATTAACTATAGGGGCTTGCGCCTATAGTAAACCATAACTCAAATCATAAAGTCCTCGCAAAATGAGGGCAAAATCTCTAGGTAGCGTCTTATCTACAAACTCATCTTCCTTCCAAAATTTACCCTAGAACTTAATTTCGTTAAAAATCTCCCGAAGAAAAAGCACAGCGGGCGGAGGCCGGGGCCGAATTTTCGGAGCCCACACACCCAAGTCTATAAGGTACCATTGGACAAAGGAACAAATAACTGTCAACAAGAATTTGTATATCAAGTTGGGTCGACTGCCTCATATGTTAAGTAGATTAGGATCCATGACAATGCCGATGTAATTACGAGTTCTTAATTGGATTTGTCAACCCCCACCATCTGCTTTAAGTTTAAAGTCATAAATGTTCAAATCTATACTTTTTTTTTGCTACTATATGTTAAATACTTAACTTTTAACAACTAGCCTTAATCAAAAGTTCTTACGTCACTAAAAGGGATAATTAACTATAAGGACTTGTGCTAATAAGAAACTTGAAACCATATCATAAAATTCTATTAAATGATGATGAAATTTATATATAATGTCTAATCTTCAACATAATCTACCTTCTAAAAATTTTAATCCGAAAACACAAAAAACTCTCAGCAGAGCTCAGCAGAGCTAAAACTGAACTAAATTAAAAGTTATCTTTTGTGAGAATTAATTAACTATAGGGCTTCCAATTATTGGGTACTTTGAAACATATCATAAAATCCTCATCATAGGGAGAAATCTCTGGGTGGCATTTAATCTAAAAATGTATTTTTTTTTCTCAAAAAAATTGACTTGGAATTACTCGAATATATGAGCAGAGCTGGATGGGAAGTTTTAGAGCCACACCTTATAACTTTTGTTTTATAACATCTATTTGAAATTTATTTTGTCGCATAATTCTTATGCTTGCAAGAAATAGGAATTGATGCAAATTTTAAGGTTTTACTTTACGCTACAGCTTCATAAAGTATCCTCTTACATGACCAGATAAGCATTTTTCTCGTAATACCCTGCTAGCACCTCAAAATAATCCAAAACAGTAAGATAGAATCCCAAACCAATAAGCCATGCCTCCCCTGAGAAAAATTCCAGGAAGTGATTCACATGGTCTACATAATTCACGTAGCCCTTACAAACCATCATGTTAAATAACTAGGGGATGGCAATGTCTATAAGTTTTATTTCAATTATAATTCATAAAGAACCAGCCAGTAAGATAGAATCCTCTTACATGACCAGATAAGCATTTTTGTTGTAACACCCTGCTAGCACCCAAAATAATCCAAAACAGTAAGATAGAATCCCTAACCAGTAAGCCATGCCTCCCCTGAGAAACATTTCAGGAAGTGATTCACATGTTCTACATAATTCACGTAGCCCTTACAAACCATCATGTTAAATAACAAGGGGATGGCAATGTCTATAAGTTTTATTTCAATTATAATTCATAAAGAACCAGACAGAAGTCAGAACAGGGGTAATACTGTCTAAATTAAAACCTGTCTAATTATTTAAATAATAATACCATCCTATTCACTTTTCCCTCTCGCTACTAGATATTTGAATATTTTAATCTTATGAAGCCATACATCAGCATGTCCAGCAGGACAAGCAAACAAATTAGTTCAGCACACAGGAATCAGTCTATGGTTCATGGTGAGGTTACAGCTAAAGAATCGTATGGGACATTTTAGCAAGTTTACATTCTTATCGTGCCAGTTAAACTTAAGAGTGCTAATCAGAACAAAAAATAAAATAAGATGGTTGATATGCTTACAAGTTCGTCCTCCAACTTCATCAAAGTTTGAATCAGCCAACTTTTTAGTGCCACCAATAATGTCCATTATAAGCCCAGCTAATTGAGACAACAAGGACATTGGATCAACACCAGAATCCATCAGTTCTCTAGACCTTTTCACCGTTTCTTTTGTTTTTGATGACATAGCCACCTCAAGGAGATTAAGTAATTTCTCATCTGAAATAATCCCCACCTGAAATTTTAAAAATGTAATAAATGCAGTTTCTTCACGGAATTTGTCCATACTTGTCATACAAATTGCATAAAGGATAAAGGAAATGCTGTGTGGGGTTCAAGCCAAATTTACATTTAAAGTACCATATAGCACTATCATGATGTATACAAATTCCTTATCAACTACCAAGCAAGCATCTGTTGCACTCGCAGCAAAAGTTGAAAATCAGTTTGATTTAGCCAGTGTCCCCCATAACATAAAGCAAAGGAAATGCCGCATAGCAGGAAAGTACAGCAACTCAAACGTTCCAAACTAATTTTGCAGCAGATGGACGTGAATATTTTTTTGGGAGAAAGGATAAAAAATTAGAAACTAAGATCAACAAGTTGGCAACCTAAATGAATGCTACTAAATTCATAAGAGAACTCAATCATTGAACTTTCATTTTGAAAAATATTAAGTTATTTGCATGAGTATGGTGATTTTATCTCGTTTTTAAATAAGAAAAGCAAAGATTTTATTGTATACAAGTCAAAGAAATAATAAATGGTGAAAATAAATCATGAATAAACATACCAGCTCATTTACATGAGAAGTAGTTATCTTTTTCCCAAGAGCACCCAGTTGATATAATATTTTTTCTGCATTTTGAAGAGAACCATCAGCATTCATAGCAATAAGACTTAAAGCATCCATTTCAATGTCAAGATTTTCTGCAGAAGCAAGCATTCTCAGTTGCCTTATTATATCAACATCTTTGATTTTGGAGAAGATATATTTTTGAACACGAGAGACAATGGCCCGTGGAAGATGGTCATGATTAATTGTAATGAAAATGAATACAATATGAGAACTTGGCTTTTCAAGATATCTCAGAAATTTAAACCACATTTTAGAGGTCAGCAAGTGGCATTCATCGATGATGCAGATCCTGTATTGCAATTGTCTTGAAGTCGTAGTCATATTTTTCATAAAATACCCAAGCCTCTCTATACTCTTCTTATTGGAGACGCTTGCTTCTATCACTAAGGACCCACTTTCTCCATAAAAAGCAGTGCATTCCTTACACAAGTAACATGGTTTGTTTCCTTCAGCAGCAAGACAATTTAGTGCGGTGGCAAATATCCTTGCAGCAGATTTTTTTCCTGTTCCAGGAGGACCATGGAACAGATATGCAGGGGCTATTCTTCCCTTCAGAATAGCATTCATAAGAGAGTGAACAACAATGTTCTGGCCAACTATTTCATCAAAATTCCTTGGCTTGTGCATGAGGTTCAAGCTCTTATTATATGCATTGTTCAAGGATCTCTCTCCAGGTTCTGCCAATTCAAATGCCTCTTGGCTCTTGCAGCTTGACCATCTTCTCCCGTCTAACCGGCTCAATGCTTCCAAGTCAATCTCCACTAAATTTGTAGAGACCTCGTCACTTGATGTATCATCACAGTTATTTTTTAATAAAGGCAATCCATTAGGAGAAGTAGAAAAGAGCTTAGGCTTGGTGAAGCCAGTTGATCTCTGCTTATTGTACAATGTCTGCCTTCTACCGAAAATGCAGCCTCCTTTTTTCATAGTATCAGATAATGCTGGAGAATTGCATTCTCTACAACCTTCATCTCTATTTCTCATTGACCTATAACAAGGGAGTCCACATCCTTGGCGCACAGGTAAATCCAGCTGATCAAATCCATCCCCTTCAAAAGAAGCAGTTGTTCCACTGCATGATCCAACAGTACTGGGTTTCCGACCTATTTTCCTGTAGTAAGAGCTAGTAGATGCAGGAGTACAGGAGTGAGATGAACCTTCTCTTCTAGCACTTCTGAATAATTTAGAAGTTCGGGACCAGTTTGCACATCCAGATCCAGGGAACAATGGTGATGCAGAGGGAGAATGGTATGCAGCTTTACAAAGCAGATCAAATCCAAGATCATGTGCATCTTCAGAATTACAATACTCTGTATCATCAGATTGTTCAATTGAGCTGAGAACTCCCAAGGGGCTAATTGGCAGGTTTATCCGCTTTGTAATTGATGAATGCTTTACACCCTGTCTTTTTGAATTAGCAGTTCTTTTCAACCTTGAAGCAGAGCTTCTCAGTGGAGTAGTAAGATTTCTGCCTCTGATATTACAAACGTTTGTAGCGCCAGTGGGCACAAGTTTTCTGTCACCTACAGTCTCTTCATTTTCAGAATTGCTGAGCTCGTCTTCAGAACTGCACCCAACATATAGTTGCTTCTCATCCTCATTGAACTTTATTCCACTTTCACGGGATATACTAGAATGATTTTTCCAATTACAAAGGTACACATTTTTTCTTTTTTTCTCATGCCTATGAGGTATTTTGGGCAATCCACTAGCTATTTTTTCTCCAGTTGAAATGTACCTTATTTTATTATCATGACAAAAATGATACGCAGAAACAGATTTAGAACTAAGAGGAGATCTCCAAGAAGAACATGTTTCAGGATCACGCAAAAATCGCGCCTTCTGAAGAGCGGAGAGTTCCTTTTTCAAGTGTAATTCACTAGGAGCAACAACTTTTTCGACCATTTCCTTCCAAAATCCTATAGCCTGAGGTTGTACATTAGTAGCAAGAGTCTGTTCTAAAAGAAGTATGCTCTCACTGTAAAGTTGTCTTAATCAACAGTAGTTAACCTATATAAATGAATGTGCAGTGCTGCATCAGCACATAACCAGAAATTGTAAGATTTAGAAATTCAAAATCATTAGTGGTTACTTACAGTATAATGATCGAGATACTACTTCAAAGTTCAAACTTTTATACCTAAGTAATGACAACCTGATAAGGATAAATTAATTTAGGTTAAATATTTTATGAAACTAAATCTAGAAAAACCAGGCTTGGCTTTGTAGAGACTTTGCACTGCTTCGCTAATCAAAAAGAAATTTTGGTTTGCACAGGAAATACATAGATATCATAACATCAAGCTCACACTCATCCTCTGACTTTACAAGTACCAGAATACAATTGGGGAGCAACTCATCTGAAACACCCCACAGTACACCTTAACAATACTAGGAGTATTACTAACCTAAAGATAATAATTTTATCATTTGATTATATGATATTTTTAAACATTTGATAATGTTTATAATACACCTAACAATTATCATTCATCTCATCAAACGGAAGCCACAAATAATTTAAAAATATTCAATCAAAGACATAGTTACAGAGCCTCTAAGGAAAATCAAATAAATCATTTATTGGAATGTTCACATACCTTACATTTAGTCTTACAAACATATTTAAAACTAGCATATAAAATTGAAGTACTTACACTCAGTCTTTTTCAAATCTTCCATTCTTTTCTTATTCCTGTAACAACAGCCAGTAAGAAAAGTACTGGTGAGCTATGAGGCTCAACAAATTATGCAAATTAATTTACAATTAAAATGTCATAATAGGAAGAAATTAAAAATTGAAATCATTAATGAAAACATTGTAAGTCATAATTAACATTATGCTTTACTGCTTTTGGATTTCTGTTGAATATAAATTTTTTGTGAAAGATTTGGCTATACTTTCTTAACTTTATTCAATGGAGCCCAGGTAAACCTGGCATTATCGCCATTGAAATTCATAGATGACCCTTTTGCCTCTTTGGGGTCCCTTTTGCCCCACCTGCCAAGCAGGTACCATAATTCCTGGGGTCCCTTTTGCCCCACTTACCAAGTAGTTCTTGTATGAGAACCCTTTTGTCTCAACTACATTGGTAAAACATACATTAAATATAGCCAAATTTTACATTAATTTAATATTCAACATTCTTTCTTAATCACATATCATATCTGCCTTCATCGTCATTCATAATATATATCTTGTATAAAATTAATATGCATCAATTTTTCAAGGAAATTCACATCCTTCCAAGACATTCTCAAATAGAAAAATCTTTAGATGAGCGTACAAAACATTATCTTGAACCCATATGGTAGAATGTGATAAGCAGTAGTTCATACTTAAAATCTTGGATAGAATATTCTAAAGCAAAATAAATTACTTGCAACACACAAGTTCCTTTCTTTCAATCAGTCACTAACAATCAATTATCAATATACAAGTAGAATTTGACATTATTCTTTTAAACATTAAATTTGCATTACTTACCTTCTTGCCGAGGTGTCTCTTCCAATTCTCTACTTCGTACTCTTTTACGATTGTAAATCACTTTGAAATTTTCTCTTTGCATAAGACTAGATAAATCTTGATTTCTTCTCACTTAACTTTTCTTCTTTCTTTTTGTAGATTTCCTTGATTGAATATAGATTCTACACTTTAAAACAAAACTTCAATATTAACCACATTCTATTAGTAAGCAACATAAAAATATCTGTAATTTACTCAATTTAATAACTTCTTTCTCTATCACTATCATATCTCTACTTCCCTAAACCCACTACCAATTTCTGAAAGCAACACTCCATAAAAAAACTCTACAGGAATTCCATGTCAAGCCCAACTTCACAACCAAACTGCTACAAGACCCAACATTACCGAATTCCCACTATGCCGAAACTATCCACAGTGTTTTCTGGATACTGTGTCGATCGGTTGAAAGAGGGATTTCTGCACTCTACCGAAATCCTGCTACATAGCTTTCTTCCGAACACTGCTACAAGGAAAATTCTACCGCCTTCTACAAACTTACGTGACCGAACAGATAAGGCATTAACTATTTTCAACAATAACTGCTCCCTCACATCCTTTCAATCCTTATAAGCTACGGTTCAGATATGCCACGCTTCAGATAATAGTAATAGTGAATATTCTAAGACTTAATGCTTTCTCTACCATTAGATCTTGATCAACCAATGTAAATTCAATTTAGTGGCTGATTGAGTAAAATGGAATATGCTGCAGTGGATTACGAAGTACCATTAATTAATCTATCAGAATTTCTTTAGGTTTAACATTTTATTAATAATACTTTAATAGTAATTAGTACTATAGTTATTCAAATTAAACAATACTTATAACTCATTTCTCTTTACTATTAATATTAAATACTTTTCATAGTAATTAATTTAACAGTGATTTAAAAATTAAGTTTTAGAGAAAAGAATAAAAGCTCAAAACTATTGTAAGAATTTTCACATTTTTTTTATAGATATTAATATTTCGAGCATATTTTGTTGAAGAGAAATTTTAACATTTTACTTGAATATTTTGAGTCTTACATCATCCATCTATGCAAGGGACAATAATTTTATCTCATACAACGTTACAAGTCCACGGCCCCGAAGGCAAAGGGATTACTAGGTTGATAGCCAGTCCTTAAATCCTATACAATAATCGAAATGACTCATAATAAAATATTTGCAAGAGGCAAGGTGTTCCTTTTAGAGATTAAGAGCTAAGTTATGTGAGAAGTGGATCTAAGTTGACTAGGATCTCATGAATTAATGACACGCCATAACTTACCTCATTTTGTCAAGAAATAAGCAATGATTGACTAGGACATCACCAAAAAGTGCACGCCCCAATTTGTGAAATAGGGCAGGGTTTGGCTAGTTTAGAACTAAGCTTATATTTGCAACATGAAATTTAAAAGTTCAATGGGAAGGTTAAGGAATTAAATGCAATTTGAAGAATAATAAATGTAGAATGTTTCCAAGAAATTAAAGTGAAAATGAAAAATATTAAGTCATTGTGTTAAGGTCACAAACTATTATCTGTTTAGAATTTTATCAATATGAATCGACTAAGAGAATAGGTGATAGGAAATTGTAAGAAAAATAAATGTTAAGGTGAATATGATTCAAGCTATGTTGCTATAAGTAAAAAATTTATAAATATATTATGCATGAGATAGTGGTTATGCTTCTTACGCTGAATCAAAAAATAATCTTAAAAAGAATTGGACATATTGGTCCACCTTAACTTGAGAAAGAGAAAATAATTATTGATTGTGATTTAAATGGACAAATTGGTTACTATAAGATGGCTTTAATATGAAGATTTAGAAAAAAATATGATGGAAAAGTAATAGTTACTTAAAAAACTAAAGCTAATAAATCACTAATGTATATTTTTTTACTGTTCAAAAAAAATCACTCTTCTAAGACTGATGAGGTTCTAAAGGAAAAAATTTTAAGAAGCAAAATGAATTAGCAGTAACGGATGAACAAAGTAATAAAAATTAATAGTTCCAAGATAAGATGCTGAATTTAAAAGATGATAGGTTAATCTTTCAAAGTAGGTTGCTAAAAATTTGAAACTTCAATGTTGAAGCTTTCAACAACTATTGATGTGTTATAAAAAAGCTAATTACAAGAAGATTGTTACCATAAAGTTCCAATAGAATTTAAAAGTAACCCAAAGTAAGATGATGAAAGTTAAAAGGTGAGAAATTAATCTTCCAAAATAAGTAACTGAAAGAGAGAAATTTTAACCTTTAATGTTGAAGCTTTGAGATGTATTTGATGTGCTCTGAACTGGCTAGTTATAAGATGATGTTACCTCATCTTTTTTTGGCCTCAAATAAGATTCACCTAAAGGTCCTCATATACTTATGCTTAGTTTGGGTAGAAGCTTCTCCATGAAGAGTTGTTTGGAGACTTAACTAAGACACAGGTCAAAGTTCCTTCATTTAAAAGTCCTCTTCGGGCACATATAATGTGAGTTGAAGCTTTTGCGTAGAGTGACATCTTCACATGAAAGCCCACCAAGAACTCATGCCTAATGTAGTGCAAAGCCTTTCTACTATAGGGTTGCTTGTTTGCACATAATTTAAATGTTCTGAATTTGAAATGCATGAGTTTTTAATTTTTTAGTGCCTGTTTAAAAGTAAAACAAATTCAAAGTATTTCTCTAAGGGATTTTAAATAGGCATCGCAACTTCACATGCCCACTCGCACTCAAGAACTCATCAGTGACCAATGTTCATGAAGTCATTGTCCCAACATCCCCATGCTTACAAACTCATCATCTCAACATCGACCACGTGACCTCGCATCCTTGTGACCTCACCAACTCTTGAACTCAATATCTTGTTGCCGACCTCATACATGTGACCTTCACTATTCCCTCCCTTCAGCGCTCCCCATCACAACATAACTACCAACAGTTATGGCACCATCAACCGCACTAACCTTATGCAGGCATTATAAGCCCTAGTTCAGTTAAAAATGTATATTAAATTAATATTTTAATACAAAAATATTATATTCATTTTACTTCCACCCAAACACCAAAAAATAATTTCCTGAATTTATTTTACAACCCGCCAAATACTCAAATTAATATGTTTAACTTACACTGCATTCAAAATAAATAGTTATTTAAGAATCATTTTGGAACTTAAAAAAGGAGAAGACCAAAGCAACTCTTGGAATTTAAATATTTACAACTCGATGTTATGATTATATAAAGCAACTGAGACCACAAAAATGAAATTTTTGTGGCAAGATCGAATTTCATTTTTAAAATATTTCTTTAAAACCCTTAATGGATTTTAAAATCTTTCTTTAAAACCCTTAATGGATCATACAAGCTTAAAATGGATGGGGCAAACAAAGTTAGGGTCATAATATCAAGCCTATTATGCTTTAGAAATTAGTTGGCAACTAAATACCACAAATCCATCAACAAACATCACCACACCATGACACCCACAATCATCATCATCTACTACCACACCCCTCAATGTAGCACCCAAAGCCACCTCTCATGACCCGCTGGTGATTAACACCATCAATTATCACCATACCAACCACCAAATTTATCAGTATCGAGCGTTGACAACGATGTCAGCTTTTACGACACGACACAAACAT